AATGTGGTCTTCCTATTGATATTATGACATCATATTTAATTGAAACTTGTAACCTGTAAAAAAAATGTTATTTGCACAATTTTTGACTTTTTAATGATCCAATTGTACCTTTTTTGTTTGATGGCTCAATTGTACAATGTGTAAAAGTTCAGTGGCCTATTTGACACGTTTTCCTTAAAATAGTTAGTTGTTGCTTCTTGAGTTTGTTATTGCTTCTTTGTAGGATAGTAACATGCATTGTAAAACAATGTACCAGGATCAGTTTTTAGATTTTTGTGACCCTGTTTGGAGCAACATGCATGTTTAGATGTAATTGAATGGAAAAAATTAAATAAGGAGATGTCCAAAGCTAGAGCAACATGCAAGTTTTGAACCTTAGACCTCCAAGTTGAAAAACAATAAACAATGTTCCTACTATTTCTTCATGGACCCTTTTAGATTTAATTGAATTTTTTTAGTTTTTTTTTTTTTTTTTTTCTAAACTAGCTAGGTAAAAATGAAATATTTGGCCTCTAAAATTAAGGTCTCTCTAAAATTTGAGGCCCTGTGCGGTAGTCCAACTTGCACAGTCCAAAATTCAGCCCTGCAATGTACCATAACAGGAAATCATAAACGTAGTTATATATTGTTATGGGATAAATTCAAACCATGATAGGACTGTTGGATAAGATCTTTTGGAAAGCTTTTAGACCTAGCGAAAAGGACTCTAAGCCTTCAGCAAGCAAGCGCGAGAGGAGCGAAGCTGTCGTAGAAGCAGTAGCTTCCCTCGACCGACTAAAATACAACAGTCGTGACCTACTTTGATTCATAAGTGATGTAGCAAAAATAAGATGTTAGCTCGGGTGTGTTATGTCGTCCTCAGGGGATTGGGGGTTATGGCACGCAATATGCAATAGCAACAAACTAGGCACTAGCATAAGGAAATCAACAAGAAGCTAAGTAAATCATAACAAGATTGAAGCTTCAGAAACTAAACAAAGTAACACAAACACATATTAACAAGATGTAAACACGAAATAAAGAAATAAGACTCAAGCTAGGGAGCATTATCTTCTAGATGCATAGCACAACCTAAGGATTGGGGAAAATCACACAACCAAGGAATAGAGGGGATGCACGTAAGAATCGTAGTCTATACGTCACTCACGTGAGAAAATTAACAAGAATTAGAACAAGAAATTGCCCCACTCTCGTGGTGAATCAACTCCAAGTTCTTCAAGAACACAAAGCATCTAAAAACCCCCAATTTCCCCCATTTTCATAAGAAAAATCGGGTTTATGCAAGGAGTGGCTTAGAATCTTGACCCAACTCTCATTGAGCCAAGAATCCTCCAAAACATGCTAATGAATGTGTACACCAAGCATTAACAATATACAAACACAAATCCTTCATAAACTCAAGAACCCTAGGTAGGCAAAAATCCCCTTTTATACAATAATAACAAATCAAGCATCAAGATAGATAATACAACCCTAACTCAAGTCCATAAACTAACTACTCATGATTCAATAGCATAAAGAACACAAAAACATAAATGTAAAGCATAAACATTGCAAGATAATGAGATAAAATGGAGAAGAAAACTTCACTAAGAAATGGATGGTAAATCTTAGAATCCAAGTGTTGAATCCTTGATTACAAGCTTGAAATGTGTTAAAGAACCTAAATCTAAGCCTAATCTAACACTAAAATATGAAAGGAAGTGAAAGGAAATGTCTAGGGTTGGAACAAGGTCCAAAACCATGTAGAAATGAGAGAAAACGGGGTTAAAAAGAGGTAGAGCAGGTTGGGACGGCCTCTTGGATGGGCGTATGCCAGGGTGTACGATTTTTGGTGCATTTCCAGTGAAAACTGGATCAGGGAGAAGAGATGAGTACTGGCATGCGTACGGGCGTACGACAGGGCGTACGAGGCTCCTGAAAACAGAATTCTGTGCACTTGTCTTGAGTTCTAGGCTATTTTCCTCCTCTAAAACCATTTTATTGGCACTTATGGTCTTCAAAAAAGTTGTAGCCCTTTAAGTTGGCTTTCCAATAGTGCAAGAATCACTCCATTTGGACATTCCTAGGGCGAGATATAGTCAAAAACCCGAACAGTGTCCGAAATGAGCGAAAATTACAATGTCTTGATCTTTTGCTCCTCTTTTGTTTTGGTTTGCCAAATGACTAAGACCATTGAATACACCACTCTTAGGCTCCCTTGGAAGTATTTTTTGTCCATCCTCTTAACTTCTCATTGGCTCCCATGGACTCCTAATGCATCCAAAATGCTCCATTTGACTCCAATGTCCACCAAAATGCCTGAAAATACTCATCTTTGTTTCACAACAAAACTCTTAGCAAAATAACACAATTTAATCATAATCTCATAAAATTTGGAATGATCTATAAGCAAAATGGCTTAGTGAAAGGGAGGAAAATATAGACAAATAAACACTTATCAATAAGAAAGGCGAAGGGGTTGGCAACAAAACAAGCAAACGGCTTTGAATCATAGTTGCAGGGTTCCAAACTTTAACTACTTATGTTCAGTTGGTTTCATAGGAGCGGAGTCATTTTTATAAATATTACAAATTTTGTTTATTTCCAACCGTTAGATCTACTAGATCAATGTTTTGGATTTGTCACAGTTCTCACGTGGAGCATGGTTCTCACCTAATTTTGGACCTATATGTTTATGTTCGGGTGGGAACCTACCTTATTGTGTAAACCTGAGAACCTGTGCACACCCTTGGTGTTGCATCATCTAACGGCCCAGAACATGGTACACGGAAAAAAGTCAACTTAGGATGCAGTGCATAACGTGTGTGCATTGTATTTGCAGTTCATACGTGTGTAAGGTATGGAACTTGAGAATTTTACAAAGAGATAGTACGTAAAAAGACACTAACATTAATTATTTTCAGAAGATGTTTAAGTGATTAGACATATATTATCTTTTATTATTAAATTAAAAGAATATGAAAACTTGTACTTAGGGAGTTAGGGTATTATAAAAGTTATCCATTTTTAAATCTCATATAAAAATGTATATTGCTTATCGTATGATCAAGGATTAGATAGGCACAAATAAAATTGAAAATGAAGTTGGTCCATGAAAATGAAGGCCACGTGGAGGCAATATAATAAGTTAACGATGGTTGGTGAGACGACGTAGGCAGGGTGCCTTGTCGGATTGAGATTCTTGATTTTTAAAGGATTGCGTCACAGTATTTGAGATTTTATTGTCGTTTCTATCAAATTTTGATAGAGAGTGTAAATTGTAAGATATATTTCAAAGTATTTGTAAATTAGTATCTATATTTTGGGGTTGCTAATGAAATTAAATTATTAATTTTTTAAAAGATAATTTGTAGTTATTATTCAAATGTGTATTTTGTTTAATGGAACAAAATTAGATCATTTAACTGTACTCACTCTTCTATAAATCTTTAATCTCCTTTTATAAGCAACATGGATACCCGATTAGTGTTGATGTTTGCTAGAAAATTAAACAAATTTCAAAAGGATTGATCAATCGAGTGAAATATAATTCTCATACTTTAAAGTCATGTGTTCAATTCGTTCTTACTCGACTTTCTTGGTTGAACATGTCTCTAACCAAACAGATTTGGATAACATTAAGTTCGATTCTTACTGGAGCTTCTTGATTGAACCCGTCCCTAGTCGAACACCCATGGGTAATATCACTTATTGATATTTCAATGACATTTGAGTGTAAACCTAATTAAACTTATGTAACATAGTCTTCCGACTACCATTTATGCTTTCCTTTTTAAGTTTTAACTACTTTTATCGTTGATATCATATTAAAGGGCAACATATATATGCACAAGTCATATATATGTGGGTAACATCGCAGTATTATAGACCACCATAGATTATTCATGCATAACATACAAAAATATTAGGTACACATTTGCATTTTATTGTTTTTGAATGATAACAATGGGTAAACTAATGAACTATTGAAGCATTCACGATGAAAGGAAAGAAGAAGAAGAGCAAATGTATTATTCATGTGTGTAGTATATTTGGAATATATGAATCATCAATTACAGGCATAGGTAAGACTATGGGTGTGTTTGGTTGATGGGTTTTGCTCATAGGAATAGGTATGAAAGTGATTGTTATTGTTTGGTTGATAGGTTTTTAGAACACAAATATGATTTTCGAATACCCCATAAATTGAAAAACTCACACCCAAACAAAATATGAGTTTCATTACCTTATTTATTCTCAAGCACTACTATTAGTAATCATTCCCATTCCACCCTACTACCAAACATGTTAAATACTTTCACCAAAACTCATTACCATTACCAAGTATTTGATACTCATTCCGATTCCGATTACCATGTGCGAACCAAACACACCCTATATATTGTGTAGTATTTGGAATGAACCAATTACATGCATAGATAAAAATATATATATAACCAAATAGAATGAATGACAAGAAAGCCATCTATATTGTGTAGTATTTGGAATGAACCAATTACATGCATAGATAAAAAATATATATAACCAAATAGAATGAATGACAAGAAAGCCATCTAAGAAACATAACAGTACAACCACTTAGCTCCCCCAAACAGGATGAGCGGAATACAGAATAAAGTGAACATAAAAGTATGTAAAAGAGGGTTTGGACCACTAGAGTACTATCCCTCCAACATATTGACTTTACTAGAGATAATATAACATATTTTAGAGGAAAGTCCTATGCCCTTGCATTGGGTATAACTCAAAGTGCATGCATGTAAGTTTCATGGTTAAAACATGGTATAATTAGGTGCAGAAGTACATGGGTGGGTAGAGGGGCTTGATCCTCAACTGTATTTTTTTTTGAGTTCCATAACGTAATTGCAGTTTGGTGTGCAGTTTAGTGATATATTTGACTTTTATTCCAAATTTTTTGAATTGCATTTAGTGTATAATAGGCACCTAATACCTTAGAATTATCCAATATTCTAGTGAACATTATATATGTTTTGTAAATGCTGTGATTGTCACTGATGAACCCAGTGGAAGTTTTTCCCATTGTATTTCGTAGGAATCATACCGGAGAAAAAGCTCCACCAGCATTAGCCTAGCCATGAGCACCACCAGTTCTTTCGCCGGGCACTGTTTGTCGCCGGCCGCCGGATTCTTGGTTTCCCGGTCATTGGACCAGTAGATGTAATGGATTAGCTTCTCCCCGTCGTGTAAAAACCTATCCGGGATGAATTTCTCGGGATCTGTGAACACTTTCGGATCCTTTGTAGCGAAAGGCTGATACCCAAAGATCATTTCTCCCTTTTTGATCAAGAACGATGATTCATGGCTCCGGACTATGATGTCGTCTCTGGCCTTGCCGTACTGGTACGGAACCGGAGGTTCAATCCGGAGAACCTCGTAAACCACCGACTTAGTTAGCTTCATTTTCTCCAGTGCTGTTAAGGTTACGCCGCCGCCGTCTTCATTGACAATGGTTCTGATTTCGTTGGCAAGACGGCGGTGTAAATTCTCGCCGGCGGCGCCGACCCACTTTATCAGGGAGGGAAACAAGGCTTTCATGCCGCCGTAGGCGTTGAACCCGGCGAGGAAAACCAAGTTATGGACGGCTTCGTCTCTCTTCACCCCGTTCTTCTCAGCTTCGTCCAGAACAGACGTCGCCGACTCGCCGAAAACCCGGCGGAGCTTTTCATAGCCCGGTTTCACGGCGAAGAACGGCCAAGAAAATGTGTGGAGAAGCAAATCTTCTAGAAAGTTGGGGAGGAACTTCAACCCCAGAGATATCAAGGGAGAAAGCTGAAAGGCTATCCATGAATCCATCAGTTTTGCTCCGCCGTCTCCGAGCTCCGTCTCCGACGGACTCTTGTTGCAAAACAACCGGAAAACGAACTCAAACGACACCTCGTCGCTGGCCGGATTGAAACCCGCTTTCCCATTCTGGGAAACTTGGTTTTCCAGGTTGTCGAAGAGGCTACATAGAGAGCTCCGAAACAATGGGATAAACCTAGTATGAAGCCTGGCCAAGAGCGACAAGAAAAACGCTTTCAGCGTTTCATGGCCGGGCTCGGAAGTGTCGAGAAACGCGCAGGGGCGGTGGCCGCCGAAGAAGGCGGTGGAGGGCATGAAAGTGCCGTCAAGAACGTTCTTTTTCTCGACCTTGGAGGTGTCGAAAAGAACGGGAAAGCTGACGGCGTCGAGGAGGACGACGACCCTGGAATCCTTGGAGATGAACGGTCCCGGCGGCATGTTTGTTCGGAAGACAGTGGAGTTGTACTTGTGCATTTTGTTGAGGAAGAAGTTGTCTTGTCCTTCGTTGTAGAAGTAATCATATCTGTCTCTTATGGCGCCAAAGAAGGAAGATCCGCCATAGCTATAGCTTCCTGGGATTTCTCGAATTGGAAGGTTAGAATCAGGAGAAGATTGGAAGGGAATAGCAGAAGAAGAAGAAGACATTGTTTTTGTTCAATACTTAATATGGCTATGGCTGGTGGGAGAATAGAAGTGCTGAATGTGTATTATAAATATAGTTTGGAGTATGCTTAAAGGAGTTGTACACTTGTACTGTAGGTAACGTTGCTTAAAGGTTAAACAATAAGACATAATAATATTTTTTAAAATTAAAAAAACGTTTTCAATGATGATTGACAATCAGTGTACGAATAGGAGGAAACAAGGAAGGAAATTTACTTAGATGGAGATCGAGTGTTTACATGTGTAATAGAGTTTCACTATGCATACTTTCAAATTTTACTATTTTATTTTTACTCGTTGATGTGTTAAATACAGACGATTTTTTTTTTTTTTCTCATATAAGAGAACAGAAAAGTGTTTACATAAAAAATGAGAGTCCACTAAATATTTTTCGTGCATGTAATATCGTTTTAAATGGAGTTATTGTATGTTGCTGGTTTTACGCCCTAAAACTGGTCATTATTGGCTAGCTAATACAAGTATACAACCCTTTAGGCAAAATGTATAAAAGACACTAAGTAATTAGACACTAACAATAATCTACGAATAAGTCATTGACAATGGGAGTATTTAGTAAATAGTTGTTAGTTGATAGTTATTAGCTGATTGAGTTAGTGAGTTTGACTAGTTGATAGCATTAGCTGATTGTAAAAAAATGTTTGGTTAGTTAATAATTGATTACATGCAAAATGATTTTTTTTTTAAATCAGCCTTTTGAATTATAGGATTTTAGAGTAACAACGGGTGCAAGTGTGTAAGTTAAATAAGTTAAATAACTTAAAAGTACAAGTAATTTACCTTTCACATTGGTGCACCTAATGATAATACTATGCGCACTTAATATTTTTGCTTAGTATATATTATATTGTTGCACTTGTAATAAGATAAGTGGATCATAGTATGTATGTAGTGGTGTCATCTATCTCTACTTTGTAATAATGTAATGAGGAAATTTCTTTTCTTATCGTATTATGTAAAGGTTTTCTTTTATTTCTGTAAATAGTTCTTAGCAGAATAAACAGAATATTCGTTTCAATCTAGATAGTTTTTATGCTCTTCAAATATAATCGATCAGTTTCGATGGAAGTAACCATTGTGACTATGTTTTACAGTAGTTTGAGGGTGGAATAATAACTACACGAAACGAAGCAAAATGGGCGGGCAGCATTATATTGGAATTATTATGCCCCGTGTAATACTAAAATTATTAGGACAGATTTTTATAATGAAACTATAATATTATGTCCCGTGATAGATCATGTGTGGCGTGTGGTCCAATTGGTAACTGCATGCAGTGTACGAATAGAAGGAGACAAATAACAACCTCAATAGTGCATGCAGTGTACGAATAGAAGGAAACAAATAAATGCAAAGTTATATTGGACAACCTCAATAGTTATTGCATGGACTGATGTTCACAAATATGACATTGTTTTGTGTAAAATTTTGTCACGCGACCCATTGTAACATACATTTTTATAATGTTCCACCCTCAAATTTTATTATTCTTAAACATAATGTTCATTATTCTAACTCATAAAGTACATCATCTTATCGAAGAAATTTTATTATTCTAACGCATAATGTACATTATTCTAAATTATAAAATTCAATGATGTCATTTTAAATCATGGTCCACACAACTCTGGGTCCATATAATAATTTGCTCGACAACCTATGCCCAATAATCTCTCAATGCTCGAATGTAATTATCATCTTATAAATATGAGCATATTAGAGAAAATATCATTTTTGACCCTTCAATTGTTTCATTTTTGAAAATTTAATCAATGTAAATTAATTTAAACAAATGTAGCCTCTTAAATATTCATAATGTTGCACTTTTAGTCCTTAATAATATATAATTGTCAAACTTCATTAGCAAATTATTTTTCATGAGTTCAATTTTGTCACTTAAAATCAATATCCATGATTAAAAATTTCATTCTCTCCATGTGAGCGCCATTTTTAATAATGAATATTAATTCTAAATGATAAAAATAAAATCATATGTTAATGAAATTTGACAATTATATAACACTAGAGGCTTAAAGTGCAACATTATAAACAATTAAGGGATTAAATTTGTTTAAATTAACTTACATCGACCAAATTTCTACAAGCAAAATAATTCAGCACATCAATTTGTTGCTTTAAAGAAAAAGTCATCAATTGACGAAAGAGTGGAGTATATTATTGATTGTTTATTAAAGTCATCTATTTGTACAGGGCAATTGACCTAGTGATATAGTCCCGTGAAACAAAATATATTGCCATTTTCTTATCATTTGTCAAAACTTGCCTAATCTATATAACTTTAGAAGATATTGTTTCCTTAGACACGACATCAAACTTTAATGAAATGAGTGGTCTACTTAAAGTGATTGAGTGGATGAAATATAATTCTGATAAGATATTATATAATCTTAAAATGATGATACTTGTAACTAATACTCTATATTACATCTTTTCATATTCATTAGTTACTTAATCAATCTTCATCACTAAGAAGCTCTTCTTGTTTCAAAATTTTAGAAATATTGATTCATATCAAGGGAAAAAGAGTCACATTCAAAGCACCTTTCCATGGGTGTATACTGCCCAGACTGTTCACACAATAGAACACCATAACACAGAAAATTAGTATAAAAGAGAGCTATTTCGTAAAGGGCTAATAGTGACGTAATCCGGTGAAACAAAATATGTCGCCCCATGTTCTATTCTTGTTTAATTTTGATAACTTTAAAAATCTTGTCCAATTCGTATAACTTTAGAAGTCATCAATTTGTTAAAGACAATTGACCAGAGAGTGGAGCATATTATTGATTTTTATTAAAGTTGTCAATTTGTTAAGGACAATTGACCAAAGAGTAACGATGTAATCCGATGAAACAAAATATGTCGCCCCATTTGTCTATCCTTGCTTAATTTGGATAACTTTAAAAATCTTGACTAATTCATATAACTTTAGAAGTCACAATTTCCTTAACACGACATTGAGCTTTAATGAAAGGAGTGATTCACTCAAAATGGTCGAATATAATGAAACATAATTCTCGTATTAAAAGATCACAAATTTGACTATTGTTAACACCTTATTAGTATACTCTGTCACATAAGATCTTTCTAATACAATTTATTTTTTGTGTGATTTCTGAGCTATTACACAAGAGAATGAGAGAGAATTTACCTAATGGCTAATGTATACCCTCAGTGCTGTGATCTGATGAAACAAAATATGTTGCGATTTTCTTATCATTTGTCAAACCTTACCTAATTCAAATAAGAAATTTTGCCTAATTTATATAAGTTTAGAAGACATTGTTTCCTCAAACACAACATCAAGCTTTAATGAAAGGAGTGGTCCACCCAAAATGATTCAATAAATGAAACATCTCGTATGAGATTATATAATCTTAAAATGATGATACTTGTAATTAATACTCTATATCACATCTTTTTATATCAATTAGTTACTTAAATCAATCTTCATCACCAAGAAGCTCTTCCCGCTTCAAAATTTTAGAAATTTGAGGATGAAGTCTAACTTATATGGGAAACAGATAAAAGGTAGTGTTTGATAAATAGCTGATAAGCCAAATTTTGGCAAGTTTGATTGGTCAATATGCAACCATTCAAACCAAATCTAATCATGGTTGCAATAGGCACTAGGCGGGCGGTAGAGTCGCGCCTAGCGCCTAGACGACGCCTAGGCAGCTAACTAAAAAATAAACAGTACATATGTGTGGGAGTATGTCATATTACACACACACACACACACACACACACACACACACACACACACACACACACACACACATATATATATATATATATATATAATGAAAAAAATTAGCAAGGCCGAGTCGGCCGACCGCCTAGGAGAGAAATCGCCAAGGCCGGTTTTTGCAACAGTGAATCTAATCATAAACTGGAAACCAAATGGACAAGAATCAATGGTGGGTGGCAGTGCTCTCAACTAGTTCTACTGCCCAGACTGTTCACACAATAGAACACCATATGACCATAACACACAAAAATTAGTATAAATGAGAGCTATTTCGAAAAGGGCTAATAGTGAGAACCTGTCGTGCTATTGGTCTTTGTTGCAATTCACCTTTCTCCAAAAAGCGCCAGAGAAAACGAAGAGCTCAATGTTGTGTCTAAACAAAAACCTGTCGCCATTTGGCATGTCATGGTCCGAATGCAAATGCTCACACAGAATTGCAGAAGAGTATAAAAAGAAGGCTGTATTGGATAACAAAAGCTGACAACAAACGTAAGCTCAAATCTGTCAAGGTTGAACAATACAACTTACAGGATACGAGCCTAAAAAAGGGACATATCGGGGGGAGGTCCGTACACACTCTTCCAAGAAAATGGGACGATCCATTTGCCAGCTTCATTGCCTAAAGAAAACCAATAGACTGTTTAAAAAGCTGGAAAAGAACATCGACAAAGAAACACACCGAGTACTTGGTCTAATTCAATGCACGCATTGCAAAATAACGGACGAATTTCTTTAAAAAAAATCATGTGGACGGTAAATCTATGCAACAGAGTTTATCCTTTGCCCTGTTTTAAAGAAGATGAAAGATGGAAACTCACCTCGGAAACTATTAGTTGTGAGCCCTAGAATTTGTGATGCTGCGTCAGCCAAATGAAAAGCTTCGGGTATGTTGTCTCCCTCTGAACAATAGCAGAATAGGCAAGTAACCTTCAAACCTTTGGCCTAGTCCAATAAACCAACCACCATATGTGAGAAACTTAGTTTGTCAAGAAAAGAGTGATATAAGGTGAGGAAGCAAAGTGCTGGGAAATTTAACAAAATTTTCATTTTGTTTTTAAAAAGTCTGCAGACTACTGTTCTATCTAAAGCTTACGCAATGAATAGAAAGCATTTCCATTTCAACAACTATGGACGGGATACACACACAAAAAGTACTAACAATTTTTTTTAACTTACCTTAAAACAAGAGAAAAGTGCAGCAAAGGGTAAACTTGCAAGGTAATCTTCATCTCCCAGCTCTTCAAAAGGAAAATCTTGTTCCTCGAGGTTATTAGCTTCAGCTAAATCGCATAGGTACTTCCACGTCCGCTGAGATGGATTATATTCCTGCAGTCTCTTGAAACCAAGTCTATCACACTCATCGTCCTTTCCATCCATGCTGGAACTAGAGAGATAATATGTCTGCAAACCACTGAGACACCAAAAATTGGTCAGCAATTTAGTGTTTTTCCTTTTTCAAATATTCCAACTCAAACTAGTCAATTGATAACCTAGGCACTAGCAAGAAGTAGTAACAAGGAAACCTCAAAAAGCATTCACCGGAAACTTAACATAAATATAAATAAACTTCCATCCATATTCAATTGAATCAATTCATTGTTCATATGAAGAATAGCATAGAAAACACACGCAAATTGTCATCAATACCTTGACATATCAATGCTTTGCCACCGCCCAAAATCCAAGCTAGATAGCAAAACAACATGCTTTATTCCACTGGCAGCAGCAAAGTTTGCCAAATTCCTCGCAAATTGAACCACCATACCCTGTTTGAAAATCGATCAGCACTGATAAGCGATAAGCCATGTATAGATAAAAGATATCCAGACAACTGAACAACACTTGAGCATTTCCTAAACCATTAGAAAGGTTGTTCCATTCCTAAAGGAAATCAAGCTTATGAGCAATCAAATTATGCTGTGTACAAAATGCATCCCATTCCCACATCTTGTTGAATTGCAAATAACAATTGTCCAGATAAACCTAATTGCCAACAAATTAAGATTGTACCTTAACAACCGGAGACCTCTGTTGCACGATGCTCAACTGACTAGAAGAGGTTCCATAAACTGCCAAAGACATAAAAATTGAATCTTTTCATCTTTATACACAAAACCAGTCAGCCACTCACTACGCATTACAATCATCGGCATAAACAAATGGCATTAGGGTAGAAAGATACCTTCAAGAGGAAGAGCAAGCTGGCCAGGAGGAGAAGCTGAATAAGCGTCATTGCCGACGCAAGGAAGAACATTCGGGTCGTCTAGGAACCCGATTCGATCAGCTCTCAACGACGATATTAGCAAATCCACCGCAAGCTGCCCAACGTTCCCAATCGAAAGCGCCGGCTACATGAAACACGGATGAATTCATCAGAGAAAGAAAGAAAGTGAGGCAAAATTTGAGAGGAATTCCACCCTAAAAACTCACCAGAACCAAATTCTGCCATTTATCACTGAATTGCTTTCCTTCTTCAACATAAAACTCCATCTTTCTGAACCTTTTCTGTGCGCGATGCTGCTGAATACTTGTCCTTAGGAGCAGACGTTCTTACTTCTTGGGCAGCAAGAAAGCCCGATTTGAGACGATTACAGTTCGGGCTTTAAATTGGGCCGATAAAGATAATTGCATATTGACCCAATATGATGGATGGGTTTTAAATTTTTATTTGCATACAAATTTTGCGCAAATTATATCATGGACCTTAATCCAAATTAAACATTAATAAACTGCACGAAGAATTAGCTCAACCAATTTGTACAAAAATTTGTTTACATTTTATATTGTACAATACAAAACTGCTTTTATATTGTACAATACAAAACTGCTTTTATCCTGAAACAATCCTACTAAGAAGACTCTGTGCAACGGGTTCGAATGAAAAAAATACGAATAAGGGTTAAATAGGCCACTGAACTGCACATCAAGTTGCAATTAGGTCATCGAACTCAAAAAAATGTAATTAGGTGCCTGAACTACACAAATTCATGCAATTAGGTCTAAAATGACATGTTTACCTTATACTTTGATGACGTGAAGGTTGTGAATTTTAAAAATAATTTTAAACAAAAAATTCATTAAAAATATTTAAAAAAAAAAAACGGCCAGAGACGATTTCGCCCTTTGGCTCCATGGCAAAAGACGAAGGGGAAGACCTTCGTCTCTTGCCATGGAGACGAAGGACGACCGAAGACGATTTTGCCTCCCGCCGTTCTGTTTTTTTTTTTTTTTTCTTTTTTAATTTTGTTTAAAATTATTTTAAAAATTTACAACTTACATAGCAGGTAAGCATGTCATTTTAAACTTAATTGCATGAATTTGTGTAGTTCAATGACCTAATTGCATATTTTTTAAGTTCAATAGCTTAATTATAGTTTGGTGTGCAATTCAATGGCCTATTTGACCCTTATTCCCAAAAAAATATTAATTAAAATTGAATTTGTGATCTTCAAGTACAAAAGTCCTGCCCCATCATCTCAACTACCCCTTTTCGGGGCAGGTCATATTCCTTTAAAATTTTGTTAGTTGGGTCATATGTTACTTTCCCTATATGTTTTGTATTAAATAAACTATGTGTACACACATAATAGGTATGCCCCTTGTCATTATTATCCACTATCTACTCTTGGTAGTAGTTGAATATTTAATATACTATATGCATGAAGTCCACGTGTAGATTGATTGCTTGAATACGGTTCATACATCGGGATATCGAAATCATTTTTATATTGGTTCTATTATTAATGATTATCTGAAAATTTTATGTTTCATTACATCTGCAGATCAACGAATCAAGTTATTCATGTATTAGTTAGAGCTGTTGGCTCTCAGATTGATTCTTATTTATAGGACATTCACCCCCTAATTGTATTATTTATTTGATTAACTAATCTACGGTTAGTTTGACTTTTAAAAAATACTTGCATGAGATCTCGTTTTAAGATATTTGTAACGCGAGAAATAAAGGTCAAATAAGTCATTCAATTGTACACCAAACTGCAATTAGGTCATTGCAATTGAGCTTCAGTGACCTAATTGCATAGTTTTTTAATTCGGCGTTGAGTGACTTATTTGATCTTTATTCTTATTAATTGTCTACTTAAGAGTTGTCACAAGCTGTTGAACAATAAATACCATCTAGATCTAAAAATCCAAAACATATGAAAATGTGAGTATTTATTCAAGATGTGTTACAAAAGTGGTGGCCATGCCAACAAGCTCAATTATTGCACAACCTTATCATAGACTTATAGGAACAACGAAATAAAAATATGAAGATTTTTAAGGTTGTTTATATACCAAACACAAAAAACATTGAATGGTCCACCAAAAACAGCTCACCAAAACCCAAGTTTCACTTTGCCGACGTGGCTTTGGTCAACGACGTGAAAGTCGTCTTTGACCCAAGCAAGAACTTCTCCGCCTCGCAGGTGAACGTATCGTAGCGGAGGAAGAACTGCGCCACCACCAGCCGCGACAGCAACACCACCAGATCTTTCCCCGGACACTGCTTGTCGTTCGCCGTCGGGCTGTCGGTCTCCCGGCCGTTCGACCAGTACACGTTCTTCACCAGCTTCTGGCCTTCCGTCCCCACGAACCGGTCCGGCACGAACTTCCCGGCGTCGGCGAAAACCAGCTCGTCTTTCGTGGCGAACGGCTGGTATCCGAAGATCATCTCGCCTTTCTTAATCAAATAGAATTTATTGTCGCTGCTGCGGACGAGGAGATCCTCCTTCGCCTTGGCGTACTGGAACGCCACCGGCGGCTCGATTCGCAGAGCCTCCCAGACGACGGACTTCGTCAGCGGCATTTTCTCAATCGCCGCCGCGGTGAGGTCGCCTTCCGCGGCGACGGCGCCGCGGATCTCGCTCGCCAGCTGGCTGTGCAGGCTGGGCCCCGCCGCGCCGATCCACTTGAACAGAGCGGGGAAGAAGACCTTGAAGCCGCCGTAGGAGTTGAAGCCGTTGAGGAAAATGATGTTGTGGCAGGCCTCGTCTCTCTGGAGCCCGGCGCTCTCGGCGTCGTCGAGGATGGATCCCAGGTTGTCGTAGAAGGAGTCGTAGATTTTGTTGTAAGCCGATTTGACGATACAGAAGGGGATGGGGAACGTGTGGAGGGCCAAATCCTCGATGAAATTGGGCAGCATTGTGAGTCCTAGAGTAATGAGCGGCGCGAGCTGAGGAACCAGCCAGAAATCGAACGTCTTGCTAGCGGTGGCGCCCAGCTTGGTGTCCGCCGGATTCTTGTTGTTACAGTACAGCCGGAATATAAACTCCATCGCCTTATTATCATTCAGATCGTTAAAACTGGACTTACCATTCAGCTTCACCTGCAACAATTTTACATATAAAAATTATTTAATTGTTTGTGGTGATAACTAAGTTAATAAGTGGTTTAGTTAAAGAGTAACTTATCCCAGGAGTCCTCTCAATTCATTGTTAGGATCAAGTGTTTATATCAAAATCTATAACAGTTTTCAGAGATAATATGTTGGATTTGGCATTTTACCTGACTTGACTATGTTATACCCCAAATTGTCGCAAATTATGCCGTGGAAATGTGTTCACCATGCGCATATTGAACACAAGGGTAGATCCATAATTTCTATGCAGTAGATTTATAATTTTGTTTTTCATTTGTGGTTAACGACGTTTCTCTCATTGCAATCGCATTATTTCGTCTTCGCAGTACAGATATTATGAATCTATAGTACAGAAATCATGAATCTACTTTATAGATGTTATGAATCTACAGCTTAGAAATTATGGATCTATCACGTATTCACCATGCATATGGTGAACAAGGTTCCACAGCATAACTATTGCCAAATTGTAGTAGGCACTTTTAGACTCGTACTATATTCAGACTAATCTCCATTGGCACCGGGCGGCCCAATTAAGGCAAAGTGATGGTCATCAGATTGGTTTTTCCATACAAGAGAGGTTCGAACTCCCGACTTTTTTTAAGAGATGGGAGTGCACGGTCACTTATATATGTCAACCATACTGATTTATACCCTAAATATTTGAGATGACATGATACTAAATTTGATCTTTTAGACTTAACTTAACAATCTCCTAGTCAGCATTTGTCGAATTTTGACTATTCTAAAAAATGTGGTAAACAAAACAACTAATGTTTTTATGTAGATCTACCATTCCAAAGAAAACACCGATGATAATATTAACTATTACGAGGTCACGCAGTTTATGTCAGTATATCTGTATCTAATCTCACCTGCTCTTCCAAGGTGGTGAACAGATCGGAGTAGACGGTGGTGAACTGGGGAATAACCTTATCCTTGAGCTTCGCCAGAGTGGCCAGAAAAAACCCTTTCAAGGTGGCGTGTTTGGGCTCCGACGGGTCAAGAAAAGCGCACATGCGGTAGCCGCCGGTGAACTTGGTGGAAGCCATGTACGTCCCTTCAAACAGATCTTTCTTCTCCACCTTGGACACGTCGAAGAGAATGGGGAAGCTGGTGTTGTCGAGGAGTACGATGACTTTGGAGTTCTTCGCCATGAACGGTCCCGGCGGCATGTTGCTCCGGAACACCGTCGACTGGTACTTATCTTTCCGGCTCTGGAAGAACTCAACCTCGCCTTGGTTATAGAAGTAATCGTAGCGGTCTAAGATGGGACCCAGGAAGGGGAGGCCATAGCTGCCGGGGATATCGACCACCGGAATGTTGTCGGCGAGATCCGGATCGAGAGAGGAAGAAGACATCAATGGAGCTGAAGACATTTTTATGTTTTCTTGACTTTACAACGTTGGTTTAATTTTGATCAGAAAGAGGATTGTCTGGTGTATTTATAGAATAAATAAATAATTCAAAGTGACGTTAAAAAAATGTTGATAAATAAATATCATGCAATGTGTTAATAGCCCTCGCGCGGCACGCGGAGAAACTATTTTAGGACTTTTAATTTGTACAATCCACATTTATGATTTCCTGGCAATGTTATTGGAGATTTAGAGTTGGCAGCCAAACTATGCTCCGTATATATTATCCACCAATAAAATAATGTATATTTTTTTTATTCTCCAAAAGGTTGAATTCCAAATAACATCCACATTAATAATAAAACGGGCTGGCAGGCTGATCTGTTTAGCCCGACAGTCCATGCTTAGTCGACTTGTGTCAAGAATCTCAACTGTTTTGACAGCTTTACTTACAATTACGATTAACTATATCCCTATCAATATATAAGTCAATGAATATATATAATTATCCGCTTTTTTTGAAAAGCCATTTTATTGTTCCAACATCTACCATCATCAATAACATTTTTCCACGAGCTAAATGTGAGCATGGGGTCACTATTAGGAGGCTAGCCCACTTTGTCATAATGGTGCCATTAAATTGAAAGAAACATTACACCCACTCCACGCTGCAAATTAGTGCTTTAATTTATTTTATTTAAAGAATATTATAAGATTTTTTAGATTAATAATCAAAGGATCCATCAATCGATTGAACCAAGTATAATTAAATACATGTCAAATAGGTAAATGAGTGACTGATATATGATTTTCGTATAAAAAAGTTACGAGTTAATTTATTGTTAACTACCTCTTTGTTAAACTCGTCATACATGAGATGTGTATTACCCATGAAGTGGTAGAAGTACATGAAGTTTTATTTCTACTATTTAAACTCAACTAACCTGTCACACAGAAGAGGTGTATTACTTATAAAGTGGTAAATTAGAAGTGCATGAAGTTTTTTATTGTATATATACGTGTCAATATTATAGACTATATTTAATTAGAATAATGAACCAAACAACCTTAGTTATACTAAAATCAAATAAATAAATATTATATATATTTTTATATTGTATAATGTCAAATTTTATTTACAAAAGTGTTTATGCTGCTAATTTAACACAATGCTGCTGCGTTTTTAAATACTATTTTTACCCATTCTGGAAAAAGAAAATTCAAAATAAGCAAGTTGTACGTCTTTGAACCATTATGTTTCCGTATTTGCTTTTCTCGTATACAAGTCAAACAAATTAAAAGAATTATATGAAAAACTGGTCAAAAAAAAATGAATTATATGAAAACCGAAATTCCATAGGGTGATACGTGAGACAGGGTCGGAACTTACAAATTATATGTTCAAATGTTATATTAATCAGAAATAAAATGTTCATTACTTATAAGATTTAAAATGTAATACGTACTTTTACATTTTTCTATATAAATAATAAAAACTTTATTCTTAATTATTATTACATTTATGCATATAAGTATTATATTTTCACCATGAACCGACCCAGCTCGACTCACAGCGTCACACACAAGTTTTTGCCAAGTCAATATTATTCAAAACCTTGACTGTACAATGATATATTTGTTGAACTGTTAAAAAAAAGGGTAAGAAATATGGATAAATCACTGTCTTTCATCTAGATAATATCATCCTTTCACGGAAACCCTCTAAAGATCGTTTTCGTATTTCATACACGATCCCTTTTAATTAAAAAGTCATAAAACGAAATGCATTTTAAGAGTCTAATTATATAATTAAAAATGTTTTTTAGAGTAAAAAATTATAGTTGAGTGGATGGAGCATAACTCTTATAAGCGTATAGTATGCACATGAATTCTTTCAGTTTCGTTTACATTTCTTTTGAAGTTTGCAGACTATTATACAAAAGTAAGATTTATATTGTGTACACATTTAAATAGTGATTGAAAATTTTTCTTATCACGTAAAAAAAAAATAAAGTTTTTAGTATACAAATATAAAATACTTCAACCAAATACATGTTGTGCATATGTTGGTTTCAGTAGATGGCATCAGATGATTTGATGTTATTAAATTTTAATTTTTAATTTTGATAGTTTGCATGAGAATATTGTATATATAATTTTTTTTATATATATAAAATGATATTATCTGTATGGATACTAATTATATTGAACAATTGGTGGGCTCCAAACATATAGAGATTAGCTAGGTTTGATTTTTAAAACGTTACATTTGTCCTTTCCCTTTGAAAATCCCCTTTTCCCATTGATTTTATATTCTTAAAAAGATCTGAGTGCAATATTGGAATTCTAATTTTATCGTACCTAATCCGTTATTTTATTTTATGCAATAATGTTTTCATTAACTTCTTTTCGAGTTAGGATTTTTTTTTTCTTTAACGATAAAACAAATATCTACAATTTTAATAAGAGTCAATAATGTTAGGTTCTTAACTGGAACAAAAAAAATGTCGGTCCTATTGTTTCTTAAAATGAATGGTTCATATCATACTATTGTTTCTTAAAATGAATGGTTCATATTATTTTTATTTTAGTATTTTTTATTGATTTTCCTTATTTACCCTCTATTATATTATTTTCTTCCCTTAAATAACCCAAATTCCGTTAGTATAAACTTTAGTAACGGAATATTCCGTTAAGTATTTATTATTTTAACTTATACATTAATTTCTATAAGAAAAGTCTTAGTTTCGAACCACATCCCAATTAGAGTTGGCATAATTGTTAAACATATATACTACGAATATGTTAAAATATATTTAAAATATAAAATATATATAATATAAAATTTAACATAAACTTTGTTCAAATAATTAGTATGACTAAATACATAACATTCAAAGTTAAGCATCAAAGATTATAAATCAAGAAATTTAAAAATCATTTGATCATTAAAAAGCTTAATATTCTTTTGATTATTTAGATCACAAAAAAAAAATTAATATTTCAATTATACTTTTGCATTAATATTTTTTGTATGTATTTTTTTTAAAAAAAAAATCAATGATTGCATTATTGTTGATGAAAAGTATATACGCCACTTTATTACTCTTATTAAACTAAATAAAGTAGTAGCTACAACAAAAAGTAATACATATTTAATTTAGAATTAGATGTCTATAATGCATTTATTTAAAAAAAATTATTCATTATAAAAAATTTAAAAATAGATATAATTTCATTAGTTATATTATCTTTATTTTCTACAATTCAAAGATTCATTACCTTCAAATTTATCAATTTATTATATTCACTGCATTGTCCATTGTCTTCTTTTTACATTATCTTGTAATTAAATATCAAAGTTATAATACAAAATACATTATATATATTTATTTACCAATTAAGTATTTTATACAAATATAATAAATATTAATATTTTGTTCAATACTTTCACATGATAACCTACACACACATCTCACAATGCATGAAACATGTAGTGGAAAACTACCACTACCAAATATCTATTAGAAAATTCAATAAATATTATCTTGCATTTATATATTTTGAATTACCGATTTAAATAAACAAATTCAATATTTATTTACATATGCATGAACATCTCCGATATAATATTGTATTGATATACTTTGAAATACTTATTTAAAAATAATCATTGGGCATTATCCCATTCGCGCAAAGCGCGTAAAAAACTAGTATATGAATACAACTCGTTACTCTATCAATAGTTATTGGGTGGATCGTCGTCCACACAACTGCATAGATCACAATTCAGAAACGACGTCGTTTTGCGTATTTTTTTCACGTACCCATTACAACATACGTTTTTATAACCCATAATGTACATTAGTCTAAAACATAATATACATTTATTCTAACTCATAGAATACATTATTTTACCCCGAAAATTTTATTATTCTAACATATAATGTACATTATTTTAACACATAATATACATTAATCTAACACATAAAATACATTATTATAACTCATAAAATTCAACGACATCATTTTAGACCATGATCCACACATGGTCTCTTGTTAGACTGCAACGGTATTTTTCTACTCCATTTTAGGTATTTTTATAGGAAAAATGACTAGTTGATATATCTTTTTTAATAAAACAGGTTAGCCGTAGTCCGTCCATTATAGTAAATGGACCGTATTAAATCGGGTTTGGACTGGACTTCGGGCTAACCTGTCCATTTGACACTTCTTTCGTAAAGGTAAGGGATTTTGACTTTTGAGGGTGTGGACTGATTTTTAAGTTTGGATAAATATTCTATTGGGCTAAGTTAACCAATAGTTCACAAATGACATGCCTAAATATCTTACAGAGTCCAATTAAGCCCAATTGAAACGATTGAGCTTATTTCTTGGCAATAGTGTTCTTTTGACCTTATGTTTGGACCAACTCAAATTTGAATAATCTGGCCCATGAATCGAACCATACCGGCCCATGAGATATATATAGTTATATATATTAGGTTTTAAAGGGTTTTCAACTAGCGGCAAATTTTATTATGGACCATGGTCCATGTAGCCTATGGACAATAAAGCAAAATGACGTCGTATCATTTTAATTACATTTCACCTTTATTTGACAATATTACTTTATTTTTAGTTTTATTTTTCACACATCACTAGTTTCATTATAGCAACACTAAAGTATCATTTTAATTCTACTGCAGTTTCATTTAACATTATACGTTATTGCATGAGCTCTGTTTTTTAGTTTTATTTAACAACACTAAAATATATTATTTTAACTCTATTACAATTTCATTTAACAATTGGACCATGGATTCACTGTATAACAATTGCCAATTAACTGGCTTAGTTGAGAGGCTTGGTTCAGAGTGGCTGGGGTTACAGGATATGTTGTCACTTTAACATACGCTCTGGTCTTCATTCGATAATATTTTTGGTTTTCCTCAAGCAACCTCGTACTATCTCATGCATTAGAGATTGAGTTTAATTTGTTCTAGGTTAACCACTTCTTTTGATATGATCTATATGTATACACACACACACACACACACTCCCTACATCCCAAACTGGTAAATGGTAATCCATATGCTTCTTCGAATACATCCTGTTGACCTAGAAAATACTATTGTCCTAATTATTAGCAAAAACTTTGGTAAATAATTGTTAGCTAGTTGTTAACTAATTGAGTTAGTGAGTTTGACTGTTGATAACATTAGTTTATTCTAGAAAGATGTTTGGAAAATTGCTGATAGCTGATTACATACAAAATGACTTCCTTGAAAAGTTTATCCGAAAAAGCTGTTTTGAACAGTTTTTTGAATTTTAATGTTTTGGAGCAATAAACTGTTACAAAAAAACTAATTAATGAAATATTCATATTGGTTGTTTAATCAAGTCAAATAAATAATAATGATGAAACAAGTCTAAACTTGACTAATATGCTAAATATTTTACCAAACAGGGCCTAAATCCCATAATTACTAGGATTCAAAAGTCAGAATCAATTAAACAAGGAATATGAGACCAATCATAAAGGAAGAAGGAACAAAAATGATCAAGTACTATAGAGACCCATCTCTCTCACAACTGAGCTGTGCATATCCCTCTGTCTTGCATACTCAACAATTTATAAGCTTATGTTGAACCAATCTACGTCCAAGGTGTTTGTGTTATTAGGGAAAGTATAAACTATATGAGAAAGTCTTATATAGTACTATATTTACGTAGGAGTTGTACACATTAGGTATCAAATACTCAATAGTGTGCAAAGACAGTGGCGGAGCCCGAATTTAAATTCGGTGGGGTCAATATACTAAATTTAATATTACTCTTGATAATATATAAATATAAATATAAATTATATTCATAAATAAATGTCTTCATTTTACAATTGTCCACGACGCATTTTCATACTTTGAAAACGTTAGTTGTATAATTTGTTGTTTATCAACAATATAATGTTTTCAAACACATCTCTCATTCGATTGGGCAATCTATTATTCACTATCTTCATTACTTAAAAAAAAAAAAAAAAAACAAAAACAAAAAACAAACTTTTTCAACACTTGCAATTGTCACGATAGTATTAAAGCTAATTTTACAAGTAAAACACTAAGGGATATGCATTATATTTCTTTGTCTCCAGGAACCATCCTCATGGATATTAGAAAATGCAGAGTTAGACCGCACATTAAGGATATTATAGCGTTTATAAGGGGAAATATAATACTTTTGATGAAAAAACTAATACGTTTATATCAAAATGTAAAAGTATTACATTTTCT